ACAAGTTTATTGCCCCTGGCCGAAATCGAACCTCGGCCGTCTGGCCCGTAGCATGTCGCAATACCGACTGAGCTATCCGGGAACGTTAGGTCTTTTAGTGCTTTCGGAAACATGTACTGGACAGAAGTGTTTACTTTCTCCACACGCATGATAAATAAACATCACTTGAACGTACAGATCCCGACGACAATAAGCAACACGCCCGATAGGAAGGACACGACCCCAATCTGAAAAACAAGGATTTCACAACAAACCCCTCTAGACATCCTCTGCACAGAGGCAAGAGCGGAAAATACCCATAAATCTATTTGTAGGCTACCATCAACAGAGTGGATATGCAACGCCGCGGTTTGCGGGAAAACAATGGAAACAATACCACAATAACGCCCCATTTCCACGTAAGAATGGACGGGAGAAGGCCAGTTTGAACCAATCCAATGAGAACACACTGCAGAGTGCATTTACTTCATCACAAAAATTGGAGAGCGTCTATGGTTTCTATATCCGGTGCGACGGCATGTCCGCTCGCATCCCTTTGGGCACCTCTAACTTATACAGGGTGATGCGGTTTAATTTCCGACTAAATGCATATCTCTATAACGACAAGCGATTGTTTTGGTATCTAAATTTATGCAGTTTCAGGAACCGCCAATCACAGTGGCCGAGTGATCTAAGGCACGAACCGTCTTCGCCTATTCTAACATAGGGATTATGTGTTCAAATCCAACTCAAGGCATTAATGTCTGTGTGCGTTTATTCAGTGTTTCTGGTGTCCTCTGTAGGTTTCCCGTCAAAGGAGTCCTAACGACTATGTACAGATTAAGAAACTGAAAATGAGACCAAGTCCCACAGGGATTGTAGACGGACGGACGGATGTATGGATGGATGGACAGTTGCAAGAACCGACTTGAAACTCTTTTGCAGTCCCTAGTGCTGGGGTTGTTGGTTTGGTGTTTGTAATTTTGCGTATATCCACTTGATAAAGGACATCAGCGACCGAAACATGCGGTGTTTAGAAATGACACTTGTCTGGTGGTATCCGGCGCCAGCATTTATATGTCTACAGACGCCGGATGTGCAACATCATAAAAGCGTCCCTATGACATTCGTGCTAATTACGAAACCAACTTTAAAACACAAACAGGAGCTTCGTTCTACATGGCGATCTTACTGAACTCGGGACCATGGGATCACCTCTTCGAATCTCATTAAAATGGCATCATATAAATAATCGTTGATGGTAGCCTAGATCTTGAATGGCTATCTAAAATCGCCCACGGCGCTACGGGCAGCGTGGCGCCACACGCTACACGCCACTCCACTCCAAGTATGTGACTTCCTTCCCGGAAACCTGCGATGCGCAGAGAACTAGACCCAAACAACTTAGTCTCTCCCCTCCCCCCTACTGGATGTGTCCAGGAATTCGAGGCTGAAGAAGGTACACAGCGTCAAAAGTGGCTCCAAGTGACATCACTCGTGGAGCTGTGCCCGTCTTAAGAAGCCGAAAACTGTGCAGCTACTCAAGAATTTCCCAGAATTTTATGGAACCCGAAGGTTTAGTACCGTGTTCACAAGAGCCATTCACTGGTCCTTATCGTCAGCCAGATCAATCCAATCCATTATATCTTATCCCTCTCTAAGATCCAGTTTAATATTGTACACCCACCTATGCCTTGGTCTTCCTAGTGGTCGTTTTCCTTCTGGCCTTCCCATCAATATCCTATATGTATTCCTCTCTTCTCCATTCGTGCTACATGCCCTGCGCATCCCATCCTTATTCACTTGATCTTTCTAATTGTACTTAGAAAATAGAACACGTTATGAAGCTCCTCATTATGCATTTTCCTCCAACCTTCTGTCACTTCATATCTCTTCGGACCAAATATTCTCTTCAACTGCCTTTTCTCAAACAACCTCAGTGTATATGTTCCTCCCTTAATGTCAGAGACCAAGTTTCACACCATACAGAACCACAGGAAAAATTATAGTCTGGTATATTCCAATTTTTATGCAACCCATACTTACTTTTCTATGTGTTTACTTCTAAACTAACCTCCTTACTAACGCCAATTAATGTCTCCGTGTTTTTCTTTGTAATATCTACGAAGGTAAGTCAATAAGTAAGTTACAAATTGATATAGAACTTAAACAAATAAGAGTACTGATTTGAAAAATGCTTTTATTTCTCAACACAATCTCCCTGTACATTGAGGCACTTGTCCCATCGTTTCACGAGTCCCTGAAAACCAGCAGCATAAAATTCTTTGGGCTGCTGTCGGAACCAGGCGTGTTCACACAGCATGGCCTGCCTCATAATGCATGACAGGTTAGGTTTTCACGAAGTCTGTGCATGTTGGGTGCAGCGCATGCTGACCCCACAACACAAAATGCAAAGAATGGGTCTGGCTTTACAGCATCTCAATCGCTACCTCGATGAAGGACACGATATGCTAGCCCGAATTGTCACAGGTGATGAGTCTTGGGTTCACCACTACCAGCCCGAGACACAGCGTGCGTCAATGCAGTGGAAACATCCGGCGTCGCCTGCCAAAAAAAAAAAAAGTTTAAGGTGACCCCATCCTCCAGGAAAGTGATGCTCACAGTCTTCTGGGGTCACAAACGCATACTGCTCACCGCAATCAAGCCTCAAGGACAAACCGTAAATGCCGACACCTACTGTAATATCCTCTGGAAACTTCGTAAGGCCATTCAACGGAAACGACCAGGACTCCTCACCAAAGGTGTGTTGCTCTTGCATGACAACGCGCGTCCCCATACTGCCAAAAAGACAAATGAGACGCTGCGAAATTTCAAGTGTGAAGTCCTCGAGCGGCCTCCGTATAGCCCCGACCTTGCTCCAAGCGACTTCCATTTCTTCGGCCCTCCTAAACATCATCTTTCGGCTGAACATTTTCCCGACGATGAAGCTGTAGAAATGGAAGTCACTGCCTGGTTCCAACAACAGCCCAAAGAATTTTATGCTGCTGGTTTTCAGGGGCTTGTGAAACGATGGGACAAGTTCCTCAATGTACAGGCAGATTATGTTGAGAAATAAAAGCATTTTTCAAATCAGTACTTTTATTTGTTTAAGTTCTATATCAATTTGTAACTTACTTATTGACTTACCTACGTACGAGTATATTATCACCCAGCAGATTCACACCATCAGCATAGACCAGCAGCTCATGTGCCCCATTTAATTACAGTCCAACCTGGTTTTCCTGGACCTTCGTTGGTTTGACAAAGTGTCTTCCCTCCGTACTTTGGCATTGAAATCTCCTAACAAAATTTTCATAGGGTAGTTCGGGAGTTTATCAAATTCATGTTCTAGTTCTTCATAGAATCTGTCCTTTATGTCATCAATTTTATCTTCTGTTGGGGCGTGAACATTCATAACAATGATATCACACCAGCGAACTTTTAGTATTATATATGATGTCCTCTCACTAACGAACTCTACCTTCTTAAATTGCTGATACGATTCTCTTATGTACGAAAAAAACCTGTACCTAATTCATGATTTTCATTCCCTTTTCCATAAAAAAATGTGTATTCTCCTGCTGGTGCGATGCCACCTCTGTCCAATCTGATCTCCTGTACGCCCGCTAAATCTAATCTATATTTTGAGATTTCTTCCGCCACTATCCTGAGCGAACCTGCCCTGTACATGCTCCTAACATTCCAAGTACCGAATCCCATGCCCATTTTGTTTCATTTTGGCCGTTTGTCCAAAGAATCCGTTCAGGTCTGAGAGGCTTCTTGTGATCTTTCAGAACAAGCTTATTTTTGAGATGGGGAGATTGGAGGCCCACGCCCAAACCCCAAGCTGGAGGACCACTCTTTGTCGGCTGTCCGCGACTACTTATTTAGTATCATCGCAGCTGCCCCCCATACCTGGACGGGGTCTCCTCCATCCGCAACCTGAGGACGCGCCATGCCATGGAGACAGGGGGCCCACTAACATGGCACCAAGTGACATTCGAACTCGAAAATATATCAAAAAAATTAATAGAAAGACAAGGCTGGCTAACCAAAGTAGCGCTTCTGATGGCAGGATCAGGACGCTCAACTCTGTAATACCAAGGTCCGCCACTGTATACCATCATGAGCCAGTTTAGTCCTGTTCACATCCTCCTTATACTCTTCAATGTCATTCCGGCATATCCTCGTTTTGTTTAGAGCCCCCTTCCGGTATGTACTCCTTCCTGGAGACATCCTTTCTAGTAGTCATTTTTATTTTAAAAATCGGTAATCTGTAGGCGACGTAAAAAGGTAAAAGGTAAAGCTACCCCAGCAAGAGGCCGTGGAGGCCCATGTGGTTGTGAGGCGTCGAGGCTCCCACATTTTCTAGAAAATCGGCTTACAGATGGCGGTGAGGTTGTCAGCCTTAAGCGCTGACCGGCCGCTCTTTACTCCCAGAAATATTCCTATTTCTGTTAGAGGCTGAGTCGACCCCAGGGCCATAGTGCGGCTGGAAGGATAAGGTCAATTGAGAAATCAAATGACCTCATGAGGAATCGTGCCAGCGACCTTCCGGCTTGTAGAGTGGTGCCTCAACCAACTGCGCTACCGCGTGCAGGCGATGTCCAAATTCGGAAGAGATAGAAGGGGGGNGAAGTGCAAAAAAGCAAAATTCTATGTCGCAGAGTTCAGAATGATGTTCTGTCTTCTTGTACCATGACACCTCAACTTCACAGAATATAGAAAAGCTAATAGTCGCTATTCTGGTCAAGAAATTCCCGGTCATCTTTATTCTGGAAAATAACTCTTACCAATATACTGACAACAGAAATATGTAGGAATGAGGCATATCACAGACCCTGACGGACCCACCGTGAGGTTAATAGGAAAGAACTTGGGCTTCCAAGTTGCAAAAACTCGGCAGGAAACATTGTGTATGTGGATACCCCGACAAGAATTAAGGCGTGTTGTAGGCAGAAACATTTTCCTGTTAGTGTACACAGTGCTACTGCTTGAGCAGCGGGTAACTTGCCTCTTACCTGGGAAGTGGTCGTCATCTGCAGCATCAGGCTCGGGGGTGGACACGTTGTCCTGAAATAAAACAGAAAACACCGTTCAAGTACAGGCACAGCAGTGAATGTTCAAGGTCGCAGGCTATTTGTGGCAGAGGGTGAGCACACAAACAAGGAACCAATGCATTTCGCAGTGCGCGTCAGGTAAAAGGCGCCTGTATGTTGCTATACATACACTGTGAACTTTGTGTAATTATCTCTGTTCCCAGTACGGAGACAATGGTCTTCTTCATCTTTTCAGTGCATACTTGGGTTCTCACCCTGAGGAAGAACAGAGTGAGTGTGCTTTAGAACTTGTAGGTCTTGCCCTCCACTGAATATTATGAGAACAAGGAACTGGCCGGATGTGTATCAATACTTGCAACGTTTTATTCAGAGGAAAGCACTTTAAAGGCCCGGGAACATGTAGGATAATATTAAAATGAATCTTCAAAGAAATACGGTTCTGGATACGTGGGGATACCAGTTATGAGTACGGTAATGGGTCATCGGGTTCCAGCAAATGCGGTGAGTTTCTTGACTAGCTGAGGGACTGTCAGCTTGTAAGGAAGAGCTCTGCTGCATGAATTACGAGCATTAATTGAAACGGCAGATGTGCCTGGATAGGAATATATGTAGTTGTTGCCAGGTATACTTATTTTTGTTCTTTCCCATGAAAATGTGACCAGCTACAGCTCTCAGAAATTGAAACTCCGTAACCAACAGTGTTCAAATCACAAATTAACCCCCACCCCTCCAAAGTTACACGCCGAGGTTGTTACAATGTGTTGCCTCGTAAATATCGGGGAGCAGGAATAAGGGTTAAGGGTGGAATGGTGATAAGCAGAGAAACCCCTAAATAACGGAGCCCCTGCCACCATCCACAGTTATTCTAATATGATGTCACGTGGGAATTAACCCGAGCCTCCAAACCGAGTAGCCCGCACGTAACTCCCTGAGCTATATAACACAGAGCCCTCTGCACTAGTGGAATAACACACTTTCAGATGTCAGAGTCTGTCGGAAGATCTGAGGGGCCCCGTTTTCTTCAACATTGGCATTACTTACACATGCTCCTCCTCACCACAGCGTCCAGGCCGGGAGTGTATCCCAGGGTAAAGCTGGAGAAGCGTGAAGCTGACTACTCATCTACATCCAGTTCCGAGGTTAAGAATGGTGGAGGTATATCTCCCAGGACATCAGATTCTAAAGGGTTCTGACAATGGAGGATGACACACAGAATTACTGGGGTTTTGGACTTTTTCCATCATCACGAATTTTAGGTAATACAGAAAACGACGTTTCGGACACAGATCCAGTGTCCGGAACGTCGTGTCCTCAATTACCTAGAATTCCGGACGATGGAAAAACTTCAAAACCCCAATAATTCTATGTATCCTCAGAGAAGTCTGAGACAGTGTTGCAATTTGAATTTTTTGGAAGTTCAGGAAATTGCCACATCCAGTCGAACTGAAGACGTGTTGCGTATCGAACCGGAATTCGTGAAGGCGGGGCCATTTCACCGTAAATAGAACCGCCATGTGCTGTAGCCCCGAAAACAATGACACAAGTACCCAAACATTCCACGGGTGACACTTCGCCTTAGCGACACGCCTTGCACCGTGTTGGGCCTTGGCCCGCCCCACGGGGATGTGCACTGCCTGTCCCGAGGATGACCTCATTTAGGGGAACGCCCAATGACGCCTTCAAACTGAAACTACAGTCAGCATTCTCTGTGCCGTCGCCAAAGCACAACTACGGCAAGTTAGATGGTACAGGTGAGGTTGTCCCTGTGCTTAATTAGTTAACCACCAGGCCATGAAAACAAATGGGGGAGTGGCGGTATAGCTCCAGCCATGAAGGCATGTGGCAGAGTGGAGTTATAGCTCCACTATTTTTTACTTCGGCACTTCACGGCTTCACGGCCCTACCGCTTTATCCCCAGGGGGAATCACACCCCGTACCCATTGGCTAGGAGACTGGGTAGGCCCCAGAGACAATATGAACCTAGGAGTACAAGGTAAAGCCATATTCATGTAACAGGCCGTGGAGGTCCATAGGGCTGTGAGACCTCCAGGCTCACAGATGGCGGTGAGGTGATCCTAGGAATATTTATTTTTAAAAAGTTTATTTGTTTCTTACATATTCAACTGTTTCTTCATAAACTAACGCAGGCCACTAACAGTACAAATGAAAAGAGAGAAAGTAACGAGTACCGGCTTATCTGAATAAACAAAAAAATATAGTCCATGGTTTTAGTCCGCAAACTATACCGACCGAGCGACCGCCGCTTGTCGGCGAAGTTAGTGCCAACTTTAGTGGATAGAGGGTGTCGCGTGGTCAGCGTAACGAATCCCCACGGTCATAGATATGTAACAAAAGTAACAGAAGTAACTGTACAGATTATTAAGAGTACACTCTAAGATTTAGGCTAAGATCTACATTAAGAATCGCGGGGTTACAGCTATTATAGATTATAAGAATGTGCTACAGAAGGCTGGATGGGCATTGTCTGGGCCTTTTCTATTTACAATATTTTTTCTACAATAAAGAAAATCCTCACGGTCGTTAATCTCGGTTTTCTAGACCGAAGCCGCCATTTCCTTGAAATAGCTCCTCAATTATCCTCAAGAGGCTGAGTGGACCCCGTTCCAGACCCACTGCTTCTCAGAAAATCTGGTAGCGCCGGGAATCGAACTCGTGACCTCAGTATCTGCAGCCAGGAACTCTGACCATTAAAGCACACAGGCGGTCCGCTTATCTGAATAAGCACAAGATAATTGAAACCGTGTCTCTGGTTCCAACCGAGAAGGTAAGCTCTCCAAACAATAATAATGGCATTGGCCAATGACGACTGGTAACTCTCTCTGGAGCTGAACGGAGGCGCAAGGTTGTGAAGGCAAAGTTACGACGCACCTCCGCTTCCATACTGGTCTAGCCACGTTGCAATCACATGGGCTCTCTCTCTCAGTCGGGCTACGTTGAGACAGGTGCCCTGGAGTGCGGCCTCACTGCAGTGACATCCGGCCGAAGATCAAACCCAACTTCAAGTGCTTAAACTTGCAACATAGCCCTCGCCACGGCAGGCGACCAGAATGAACAAACTGCGAGACAAACATTTCCCTCTTTAGATGTGACGCTGTGCAGTCTGGTTGGGTATTACCGAAGTTTCGGAGGAACGTGCTGCCTCCATCTTCAGAGCAGATTAGATGACTGTCTTCATGTGTTAACTGACGTTTCGGACGAACGTATTCTAACCTAAGGAGGACACATGTTACTCCTAAACGTCGGTAACGATCTAACAGACTGCAGGGTGCGATATCCCAGAAGACAACAATATAAGCAGTGATATGGCCTTGCTCTGTGAATCCCTCAAATGCTGATATTTTTGCTTAACACAATCCAATAATTAGTTTCCTCAAACCACTGTCAGTAGATGTCATTACTACAATGTTCTGACTGTATCGGGTTTTGTAAGTCGTAAATTTGCAATGAAGAGCGCGCCGCTTTCAGTTTACAAATGGCTGCTTTACAGCTTAGTGCCTCAGGAAGCACGCTTTATGCAAATCGCAGATATTCTCGGCAATATCAAGTCTTCCTTCGTTCGGCTACGGGGAAATTGATAGCGATGCGTTCAACAGGTGGCGTTTTTCCCAGCTCGTTCCAAAACATTTTATTGCACAATGGAATTAAGTGTCAGACAGGAGATTTAATGCATCACGGTCTCACGGTACACATGTACCGGCGGGCGACGAAGAAATGTATGTATCTTGTTAATGTCCCTGAATTCAAAAGTTGAGAAGAGAACTTCAAACTTCCTTCTACAAAAACTGTGACTACGTGTTTAAAGGATAAAATATCCTTGTGTTCAAACACCACAGCATTAAGACGTATTGGCGGAGCAGAGGTAAAACGCCACTCATGGGTGTTGGAAGGGTTTCATTTTCCATGGAGAGAATACCAGATAATTTGCTTTAAAACTACTTTCAGGATAGGAAAAAAAATAATACTCTTTTTGTTGTTAATATTTGATAAAGTCTCTTTCTCCTGCCATTTTGCGCCCATGGCTCCACTGGTTCCTAACCTCGACCCCAGTGAGCGAGTCGGTTCAAGCTGTAACGATTCAGACTTGTATGCGGGAGGTGCACGGTTCGAATCTCGGCAAGGACATAGACTAGTCTAAGGATCTTCGTCGTTTTCCTCGGTCACTCTAGGCAAATTCCTCAGCCGTATCTTAATTCATCAGAAAATCGCTCCGTTCTTTACACATCCTTCCCAACATCGATGTACTCGTACAGACCGAGCTATATTTTAAGCTTCACGCTCCGGCCATCACCCTTGACACGGGATGAGGGTGGGCCCAAAAATTTGACCTGGGGCAAGCGGCGAATAGAACATATGTAGGCCCACATAAATTGCTGTTTCCGCTGTATGGCTTCAGACTGGAATAGCGGGTTCCAATACCTCCCGGGGCATTGACACTCGTCCGCGACGGTATGGCCCTTGCGAATCTCCGGTCTCACAGCCGGGCTCAGGTGCCACGAAAGCTTGTAGTCTTCTTCCGTCTATAATGCACCAATACCAATATATTTTTTGATGATATTAGTCCACATTTAATTAACTACAATATTCGTTAAAATGATTAAAAATATCATTGAAATATACATACGCTCCGTGTTTATACCCTACATGTTTCGACTACACAGGGTCATCTTCAGGCACCTCATTATTAAGGAATCCACTGCACTGCACTGCGCACTTTGTCATCAGTACTCTTAAAATACGTATGTCGTTATTATCAATGTTGGTGTTACATGGCGTTTGTTCGTCCTGTCTTATTGTGGTCTCTCTGTGCCCCGTTGTCGTGTGTATCATGAGTTGATTTGTGTTGTACACGAATAGTTCAAAGTGAAAAGACAATATGCAGGAACCCTCCATCTCTCTTGTTTCCCAACGCTGCATCAACTGAAGATATCACATATGGCTACTTGACGAACTGTCAGCGTCGAGTGGAGGATACAGAAAAACTGGAAACTACTT